GAAAATAGTAAGCTTTAATGTTTGGTTCTATTACAAGACTGTACAACCGTGTTAGGTAAATGAATATTTATCTGAGCGAGGTTTTTTATAAGTTTTTGCCTATGATTATCATAAAGAGAGCATTGCCATACTATATGATTTATATCTTCAGGAGCAAGATTACATTTACAAGAACAATTGTTAATAAAACCTACTCTTGCAAGTGATTCTGCCAAATTATAATGGTTTGCTCTGATTCTATTTATCGTCGTAATGAATTTACGTGAAAATTTTTTATGCCAGAACCATATTTTTAAGCTGTATGTATAAATATTTTCAAATTTGTAAAAGTACCTATGCCGGAGCACATCCTCTGGTCGAGAAGTGTTGAGAAACAAAAAGTTCAATGAAAAAAAAAAAATAAATAAATAAAATAAAATACGAGCGTGCATGTAAATCCTGCGGCAAAAATTAAAACATTCTTCGGGCATCTGAAAAAAAAAATAACAATAATGAAAGAGTCGAGGGAAAAAAATAAAAAGGAGGGAAGGAAAAGAACAGAGACATCAAGTGCTCGATGTAGATTGAAATTTACAAATATATAAATACACATGTTGGTAAATATAAAAACGGATCGACGTGTGCGCGCGTGTGTACGGTGTGCCGAGCGAAATTGAATTTTTCACCCCTCCCAATCGCGTCGACAGTGCGTCGCTTGTTTTATCCCCCCCCCTCCTCCCCTTTTCTTTTTCCACTTTGTCAATACAGGATGAGTTTCTTGCATTTCTTTTTCAAACGCTAAAGGCGTTGATTGCGTGCAAGATGCAGTTTATTTTGCTCATCCATCGCGTGTTCGCTCGCGTATAAGGGCAATTGAAAGGGAATACGCCAAATAAATATTATACGAGACAAAAAAAATGCGAGTTTACAAAGAAATTCGACACATTTTCATGTACGATGTACATTAGTGTTGTAGCCATGGAAAGATAAAGGAAGGAAACGGGGAGAAACAGCGGACGGGAATTTCGGGACGACAGCGCAATTTGGAGCAAATCACTCGCGCAATTAAGCTGCAGCAATGCGGGGAAAATAAAACGAAAAGAAAAAACCAAAGTAAAACAAGAAAAGAAAAGAAGAGAAAGAGTAAAAAAGGGGGGGGGGGAGACAATCCTCGACGTCGATGGCTTTATCGCTCGCCCATGTTTGCTCGTCCGGAATTTAATGTTCCGTTAAACTTCTTTGATTCGAGTCAATTAACGTTTTTTAATTTTTTTTTTGTTTTTTTTTTGTTTCTTTTTTTCCACCCATACCGGATCACCCGCATAGCTGCCATGCTTTATACGCGCACTCCCCGCTCTCCTCCTCAACCCCTTCGCCACGTCGCCCCATCTTGATGCTCGCTCGGACGAGCGCGTGCATTTGCATTCGGCGTACCCTATATATATGTACCTGCATCATACCCGAGAGCGAACGATAATGAACAGCCGAGTGACTTGCTGCGTGCAGGTGCATTATATACGACACATTGTTGGTGCCGTGAAACGCGGCTCTTAGTGTGCATGTCTGAATTCCAATGTCTGCTTCATCAAATAAACTAAAGACACAAGTGCGCGCGCTTTATCTTTAAAAAGCCAAGGGAGATAAGTAGCTCAATGCATCGGGCGATCGAATAAAGGTTTTATAACGCGTACTTGTGTAAGCAACAAAACAAGTATTTTTGCATATATGTATGCGTATAGGTACTCAGTATAATAGCAGTGAATTGGCTTACTTGCGCTATGTATATGTTTACAGGGGGTGGGTGTATTCGCACATGAGGTGATTGATGCTTACGGAGCTGTTTTCCCCGGGCCTTTTTCCTGCTGTGACTCGCGAGTGATTGTACGAGTGTGTCATTGCTATACTTGTCTTATTCCAAACGATGATATGTCATAAGCCATATGGGTATAATAAATCGCTCAGATGAGTCAAATTCTCTCTGTGCCTCGCATTGTTTCCGCATCCAATAACCAATGGTTGCGACGTTGTCAACTTAAATTTCAAACTGTTGGTAAAATTTATTTTCAAAAGTGGCAAGTAATCCGCAAATTTAATCGTTGTTGCGGACTTTTGGAAAACCGTGCCACGGTTGTTGTCACGAGTGGGTTTACGATCTCTAGGATGGTACATTTTGAAAAAATACATGCACCGCTAAGCAATAACGCACCGCTAAAAAACAAAACGTCGGCATTGACGCGCAAGCGGCTCGTCACGTTTATCGGCGATAAAAAAACGCACACGCGCCAACCGAGAGTCTGGTCGTATGCCTCTTTGTTTTCTTTTTCTTTAAAATACCTCTTCACCTCTCACGCAGCTCCTTCATATCTTAAACATTACTCGGGAATAATTAGAGCCGCGTATAATTTGCAAAATGAACGGCAGCCAATTATTCGCCGTGGCGGATTTACGGGGCTGTCGAAACTCAAGCGCGCGCGAGGTGTAGCGGGAGCAGCTCGTTGCCGGCAGATGGCCCGATGTAAATCACCACCGCAAATTGAACGTACAGTTATATACATATACCTATGTGAGCGCCGGCGAGCGATAGAAGGGACTTTTTCAATATCGCTCAAGGTGGAAGAAAGTTTGTGAGTGGGTGGAGGAAAAGCGAGGAAACGTAAACCACCCCGCCTGGCTTTCCCTTATGAATTATCAAAATCGATATCCGAGGAACATATTGGGGCCGAACTCCCTTCCAAAGTCCCCATACACCTTGCGCTTAAAAAAAAAAAAAAAAAAAAAAAAAAAAAATATGTAGTCCTTCGACTCCACCCCCTCCCAGAGGGTAACTCGACGTTTATATGCTGATGGGGAGGAAAAATTTGAATTCACCCGATGCGCGATGCTTGATATTGAAAAATAAATTTTCACGGCTCACTCCTTCTTCGAATCTTTTATTTATTCTTTGCTCTCCAACACTCGACCGAAAGCTACCAAAGACGAAATATACTTTTGGAGAAAAAAAAAACAACTAAAAAAAAAGTCTAACAATTATAACAATGTTGTAATCATCAGCACAAAGATTACAGTACACTAGTGTATAAGAGCGTGAAAGCGATCGGAAAAAAGCACGTGTGCCTCGATTATTCGACAATGGTGTATATGTAATGTATACCATTACAAAATTTGTCAATTTAGCAGCAGCGCAGTAGAAGCAGCATCACCAGAGTCTCAAAGTTCGCTCGCATCCAAATATCATCGCCCTGGCGCTTATTTGCAGTCTGCGTGTAGAAGTAGGTAGGTAGATTCGCAAAAGCGAAATCGACAGGCGCAACTGATGGAAAAGTTATCCTTCCCTGGCTGCGTCTAAGTTACTCGACCTCCGTATACGCAGACTGCAAACACCGCCACGAGGAGTGTTATACATACTGTTACTGTTACTATACAACCATACCACTCTTTGCACCAGCTACACCAGTACGTATAGTATGCATATACGTATATATAAATGTACATGGACGCGTATAATGCCAGAGTCGAGTTTATACACAACATGGGTTGCGTACACGTATAGATAGGAGCTGCTGCCAAGTGCAAATATGACTTTCAATATTCGCTCATCGCGCGGTTTGCAATTTTCCCTTTCCCGTGGTGTAGCATCGAATCTGCGTATACGCACAAGTATGTACGTATCTACGTACGCGGCAGCAGTAGTGTATATAGAAGCAAATGCACGCGAGGAAGGCAAGTTCCACGCTAGGCCTTCGTATAATGTAATAGCGCATAGGCATCATACGTAGGGGGAGTGAGGGAGTGCGCGGGGGTCGAGGGGAGGAGGAGAACCTTGGCTGTATATAATACTCCATTATCTTGTAATGTGGTAGCATTATAACTGTAAGCGGCAGTGCTTGTCTTCACTCGCGCGATAGATACATACACACATAGTTGCGCCCGATAGATCCATGCCTACGCACATGTATATACTTACATCGGTGGAGGTGGTAGTAGTAAGGTCCCCGGAAGTTGGCAGAGCCGGGGCAGATATCTCTATAGAAGCGAGCGAGCGAGCTCCTATGTATATTGTATATACGTGCATTTATAACGAGTAACATCCTATTAGCCGCAATTTTTTTTTTTTTTTTTTTTTCTGGCTGGTTTTTGCGATGCTCTTGGATCATGGATGGCGTCGAAGCTTCACGCGCTCGGCTGAATAATCGAGCGCCTTAGCTCGTCCTTTTCCCTCCAGGCTGTGAGCTTCCAGTTATACTTTTTACTTCGACCCATCCTCGTTCGATAAAAAGAGATTAAAGCTCGCCGATGAACTGCCCGTCATACGAGATCTCGTGAATTTCCATCCAGAGATATATATACATATGGTATTTTGGTTGCAGATATTTTTTCACTTTGGCTCTCGGAACTCTTCATTTGAGAGCTTCAGTCACGCTCCTGCTTCAATACACTCAAGCTTTTCCTCACCTACAACCCGTTTACCGTAATGGATATTTATATTTTACAAAAAAAAAAAAAAAAAAAAATATCAAGAATTTTCGATGTTTGTTGATTTCTCCCGTTAGTTATTACTGTGGCAATGCAATAGAATCAGCCTTTACGCAATTACGGAAAGGATAAGGTTTTCAAATGCATTGAAAACATACGATTTCGCTGAGCAAAGGAAATTTAAGAGCAAAACTCTCACGGATTCCTGTCTACAATGAATACATTGTAGATGCGGTGATTGAAGTTAACCGAACACCGAGGAAACCAATACCAGTTGTTGTGTGCAAGATGCGGTGTACAGTTAGACATCGGAAATGGCATATATATATCAGCGCGGCGGACTTTCTCCCTTCGTGATCGGTAGGGATTATGGTATTATGTGAATGTATATGTACACGATATTATACACCCATAAACGCAGAGGAAGATTATCCCACAAGACGCGCGTCTGTATTTATAAGTTGTTTCTCTAAGTATATGGTTGTGAGGACGCACATCGTGTTAATTTCAGCACGCCTACAATGTTGTTGTTTTTTTTTGTCTTACAGGTGCGCTGTCGCAATCGCAGTTCCCGGTGTTCACGATTTACGCGCAAAAGAGCTGTCTGTCGGTGAAGCCGTGCGACCGCGCCTGGTGCATCGACAGAGTCCAGGGCCACAGGCTCCAGGGACACACGCGCCGCACCACAAACACCTCGGACCGCCAGCACTGCCTTGAGCTCTGCCTCGGCGAGAGGGAGTTTCTCTGTCGGTAAGTCACCAGCATTTGTTTTTCTCTCTCTCTACATATTTCATCGCATTTACTTTTCAGCCTTTATTATACTTATGTGATCTCTTACGTAAAACATGTACCTGTAGTTACTTGCCAAATTAAGGTAATCGCCCAAGCCAAAAGCCGATTCAATGATCGTTCATGCATGTTAAAACTAAAAAGAAATGCGATACACTTGAACGAGCAGATTGACAATTTACAATAGAACGAACAAGCCACAACAGCGGTAATTCGATTGATAGAACATTTTTATAGAGGTTAATTTTTATTACTATTATCATTATTACGGGGAGGTGGGGGAAAAAAAAATTCCGTGAAATAATATATATTCCAACGAGACGGAGCTCGCGCATACAACTCGTTGAATTACGTCAGATTCCCAGGTTTCTTTCCTCTGTCGGATTTTCACACCACTAGCAGCGACTACCGCTGCTCCTCTCCCGGGGGCTGTAATTTACACCTACTCCCGTTTCCCACCCTCACCGGCTGGTGATTTACGGCATCGGCCATGATATATACCGCCCGGCAAAGTCATGCCGCGAAAAAATTGAAATCGTCACTCCTCCCTCTTCTCTAGTGTACATTAAAAACTCGACTACGGCACGAACGGAGCAGCCAGAGTCCAACTTTTTAAAAAGACGCCCCCCCCCCTCGATGGACGGTGCCACGGTGCACGTGTATTACACAGGACGAGTAGGTGTATCGGTAGCAAAGAGGATGAGCGTTCGCACCCGATGCGTAATGTTTCCAAAGACCATTACGAGCTATTAAATATTTATGCGGAAAACAGAATTAGGAATAGGGAGGGGGGAGGGAAGGGGGATTGGATATTATTATACGGCGGAGATGCGCCGTTGAATTATACGCGTTATGAAATATTGAAAACTCCATTGAGTGCCCGAGCATAATGGAAATGGGCATCGAGTATACATATAGTACAGGAGCAGCGCGCGTACCCGGATGTTCATCCACTTCTTGTTCTCACTCTCTTTCTTCCTCCCATCTCCCTCGGTATTCTTACAAAGCCCTCAAGAAGCTACGAGGGGGGAGGGGGAGCCGGCGCAAAAATAGTCCTCCTCCTTCATCTTATTCTCTCTCTCTCTCTCTTGCAGCGCGTCTTCGCAGATGCGACCGCGGCGTAACCCACGCGTAACCAGATGCAATTATGCGTATCAAAGGGCTCTTTACGATTCCCGATGTAAATGATGCGGCGGTATCGTGTCACGCGTTCGTTCCGTATACGCGATCGTATCGGGCATCACGGGCTAAAGAGCAGAGACTGGAAATACAAAAGAAGGGAACGACGATAATGATGGCTCTGTGTTTTTTTTTTTTTTTTTTTTCCTGTACATATAAAAGTACGTGCGCACGGGTGTACTGACACTTCAACTTGGGGTATTTTTCTTCTGAAATCGTTCATGTATTAATGTTTTTGTTCTGGTACAAGTGCAAATTATCCGCATTATAGAAAAATCATAATTCACATCCAATATTTGGGTATCCTACGACTCTTAAACGGACGACCATCGCGTATCAAACGATCCATTTATCCTCGAGAGGTTTATATAAATATATAACGTGTATGCCACGCCAAGTGATTTTCAATCGGTGCTCTTAACGATTGAGTATCCGATTCCTCAAATTTACCGTAGATGGAGAAAATCAGACAAACTCCCGAACAAGAGCAAAAAGAAAGGGAGAAAAAAATCGCGCGATGGACCGTGGGCATGGTGCGTGAATCAGCCGAGCGAGAATTTTTTTGCCGGTGCGGCGACCGATTTTACGGCATTCCTGACGCGCGCGCGCTTCAGGCTTCCCTAAAGAGAAAAAGAGAGAGGGAGACGCGCCGAGTGAACGTGCCTTCGCCTACGTAATGATAGAGCGAACGCTGCGCGCGATAGCGATCGAGAGAGCGCATTAAAAAAAAAGAGGAAGAAAGAGAAAATGCACACGAGGAAGGACGGGGAAGACAGGGCTCCAGGCGAGAAGCGTGTCTTCGGTATATATATATATATATATAAAGGATAGAAGAGGAGGCAGCATCAGGAGGAAGGAAGAGAAAGGAGGAGGAGGAGGAGGAGCGTCGCGGTGGCGTCCACTGTACATATATATATGCACGGCTGCCCAGGAATTTCACAATTACGTTTAATGAAGAACGAAACTGTTCCTCGTAACGCGCATAAATTATGCGCAGCGCCTGTTTTTGTCTTGCCATTACAATTATGTACAGTGATTAAGCTCGCGCCGCGCGACCCGAGACTCTCGTATGTATACCTATATGTAAGCGTACTGCCACTGTTCTCGGGGACGACGACGGCGGAGGAGATATCGAATCTACGAGGAACCCAACTCTCGTCTGAAAAATCTAACGAGAGCGCGTGCATTTTTTTTGTTTTTTCTTTTTCTTTTCCTCGTTTTTATTTTTCATCCTCTTTTCTTTTTACGCATCGTTACTATGGGCGTTATGCACGTCTTACGACGCGTATAGGATACAAGCATATAGCACGAGTCATTAGGAGTGATCATTACGGGGGAAAAAAGAGCGTGGATAATGCACACCTGCGCGCCCCAAGTGCTAGCTGCAGAAATGCACTTTCAATCTGTGTCTTACTTATCTCTGCTGCGAGAGAAGACGATGTATCACCATTCTCTCGGTGTATAAAGAATTTAACGCTGGAAGATTGAAAACAACAATAATATCACGTTGTCGCCATTCGAGACTGTACATTTTCATTTTTCTCCCCAATTCCTACAAGAAACATAGCTTATTTTGCAAATGAAAGTTAAAATGTCAAGTGGGGAGGAGTATTTTTTTTTCATCAGCTCGGGAAGAGTGCCTCTCGGCAGACCGACACTGAATTCCATCCTGATTTCGAGAAAGAAAATACAGAGATGGAGAGAGCTGTAGAGGGGGGTGGGGGGATTACAACTCGATCGATAGATCAAGGGGTGTTTGAGGGGGTTGCCCGAAAATCCTAACGGAAGCGTCCATCCGGCCTCATCTCTCGCAAAAAGAAGCGAGCGAAATTCATCCGTCGAGCTACGGGGAATCCGAGCCCTTTTTTAAGACCATCCATGGTCGAAGGAGTTGGAGCACTCTGTCTGGGAAAAGTCAAGGTAGAGGGTAAAAAAAAAAAAAAGAAAAAAAAACAAGCGTAGAGATACCGGGCAGATGGTATAACTATACGGTCCCATCTACGAAGGAGGTGGGGAAAAAAAAGCAGAAGGAAGGGAGAGGTGAGGTGTTTTCCGCGCGTGTCTAGAGAAAAAGCTCGCCACAGCCTCCCACAGTGCGACCCGCGAACTGCATCAACGGCGGAAGGAATCCCAGTAAAAGGCTCTCCTGCGCTCGGAATCCTTCCGGAATCCGGTAGCACGGTCTCCGCGTATGGCTGCTGGTAACGCAGTACAACCGAGTAATCAACCGGCGCGTTCGCCGATTCCCCCGCTGATTAACAAGTGACTTCACGCGCGTCAAAGTACCTTTGCGCGCGTGTGCGTATGTACTGTACAGTTGTTGCTACTGCTGCTGTTTGTTGTTGCAACAATATTCTCGTGCGCGCAGGGAGCGTGAAGCCACAGAGGCATCGGTAACAGCACATATATGTATATACACATAAGAGAAGGGTAAGGAGGAGGAGGGAACAGGAGTAGCTGCACACGCGTAGAATTGCATTAACATTCTATGGGAACGGTATTGCTTGCACCTCCGCTCCCCCGAGTCTTGCGAGTAAACATCACTGACAAGAGAGAAGAAGAAGAAGAAGAAGAAGAAAAAGAGAAGAGAAGGAGGCGTCGATCTTACACTTCCCACTCGCGTGGCAGAGACCTGCAGGTTATTCTCTTCCTTGTACGTGTACGCGTGCATAATATATACCTACCAATGGTTATACCATAGTCCCAGCTAGCTCTCGCTGCCAACTAACCGCAAGCAACTCGATATAACAGAGCTCTTTCTTCCTCCTCGTAAATTATCTCGGTCAATTAAGACCTTTGCATAAATCGCGCGCCACGCAAAACCCCGTCGCCGATCCTTCCTTTCCTATACAACGTATAGTTACATTATTCTCATCTGGTCTAGTACGTACCCCCCACCCGCGTATCCTGCGTGTACGTATATATAGTTATAAGCACGATCATAATGTGTGTATTGTACATCATGCACCGATGAGGAGGGAGCATCGGGAATCGCGAGAGCCAGCCTCTGGGCGGTATAGGTGTGTAATGTAAGTATATATATTTTAAGGAAACGCCGGCCACGCCATTACGTTACGTAAGTAGGTACAACAGGAGACCCTGTGCACCTCTGCCTATCGTACGAGACATTTGGCTTTGCTGATCTCGCACGAACTTGACCCACACCCTCTCCACGCCCATACATATATGTACAAGTATATACTTGGCCGGCCATCACGTGCACCAAGAGATTTATCGAGCGTGCTCCGATACTGTCACTCACCCTAACGGCTCCGTCAGCCATTGCACCGCGGGCCTCCCGACTCGTCTCTCTCTCTCTCTCTCTATCTCGTCCGTATGATTTAGGGCCGATTATTACCATAGCCCCCCCCCCCCCCAAGCGAGGAGCCCTCGAGGAAACTATATACCTGCAGGACCAGGGAGATCGGTAATAAAGTTAAGCGGCGGTGGCGGCGACGATCGTTCCCAATCGAATGGCCACGGCAATTCTCCGCGCGAAATTGCGCATCCGGTCGATCATTGCCCGAAATTCACAGGGAGGAGTAATATCGTTTTGCGGAGTAGTGCGACGACGATGATCGGGGGATGAGAAAAATAATGTATACACACGAGACTCCGAATCTCGGGCGGGAGCACACCTGTACGTTGTAACGAGGGTATAAATACTTGGGCTCGTCGATCGAGAAGAAAGGAAACACGGGAGTTGCAAGGGGGACATGTTTATGCTTCCCTCGACTCGTTGACCGGTGGATGATCAGCCTCTCCCCGCTTATCTATCTCGA